ACATGAAAATAATACAAGGAGATTGATCAGCATTTCTTTTTATCGTATGATTTTTCTACTCTTCTTCTTTGGCTAAATGAGATGTTGTGTTTGCTAATGATATGAGTAATTAAAATAAATTGTTTGAAGAAAGGAAATGCTGCTCCAATACATAAAGGGATCTTTGGCTAATACAAATATTTTCTGCTGAAAGAAGAGCTATGAGGGATGATAGACGTGAACTCAGATAAAAATTTGAGTGAGTTTGGTGTTTTATTGTTACAAAATACATAAAATGTTCTAGAATATCATACTTTTGTTCTTCAATGCTTAGACTGTACACTGTGTACTATACTGTACATGATGTACAAATGAGGTTGTTTTATTTGTGATTCATTACAATTAAAGGGGTATTCCAGTAGGGGCAACAAAAATGAAGGTAAAAACTGTAAGTGGCTTCAGTATAAAATGATTGGAATTTTATAAATCCTTACAGAACCTAAAATGACAAGTTCATTTTTGCAAAAGAAATGATTAACCCCTTGGCGCCGGGTTTCAGAAGCTGGGAGTCGGGGTTTAGGGTCATGTGACTGCCGTAAGACGCCGTCACGGCGGTCACATGCTCGGAAAAGGTTCTGATTGAAAGAAGAAATCAGGACCTTTCCATGAGTACATATGTGCTGGGAACGCATGGGGCACATGCTCTCAGCACATATGTTTTTTTTTAATAGAACGCAAATATGCGGCCGCTCAGTGTCTAGTCCCAGACGCCAAGAGGCTGCACATTTGCGTTTGCCCGACGTCAATAGGTTAAACAAAAAAATGTAAATTAGGTGGAAAACAATGTTCAAGGCTGACCATGCTACATGTAGAAATGGTAGACTCCAAGTCTGTCACTAATCTATCATCTTTAATGTCAAGGTCTTAATATATATTAATTAATCATAGCTGGTGTAACGTACCTGGTTGGGGAGCCTGAAGTGGAGAGAGGGCATCTTCTTACCACTCCTGCTCGGGACCCCTGATAGGGTAGACAGAAGGTATTGATCTAGGAGGGGCACGAGTGCCTGACGGGTCTGCGGTGACAGCTGGCAGGTGATGACCTGGAAGACCAGGATGCAGGTCGGTTACGGATGCAGGTGAGCAGGTGCAGCAGCAGGAAGGTATAGCGGAGGTATGGATAACTATGGTAGCTGGCAGCCAGAGATAGTCACAGCAGGAGAGGTAGAAGCGTCAGACAAGCTGGGTCAGGATCAATTGGGCAGATCAGGTACAGGGGAGCAGACAAGCAGATAGTCAAGGGATGAGCCGGGTTGGTGCAGGTGGAGTTCAATCATAGTCAGGCCAAATCAGGTAGATAACAGGAGTCAGGATACAAGCAGAGAATGTAGTAGACCAGAAGGCACCATTCTAAGTACAGCAGGGGCTTAAATAACTCGCCTGTGCATTCCGGGTACCCGGCATTGGCGCACAGATGTGCACCAACGCTTTGCTTCCTCACCCTTCCTTACCAACTGGGCCATTCTCTCAGGGTGTTTGCGTCTAAATGCTAACTGCATGCGCATGTGAATGCGTACCGGCACAGCTGACGGGTACCCAGCGTTGGCTCATAGATGTGTGCCGACATGAAGCTTCCTTACCCTGACAGCTGGTGTTTGAGGAAGAACAGGAAGACTTGGAAACTGCCCAAGGCCCCCACATTCTTATAGGATCCTGGAAGCTTCAACCCTGTGCTCAAAGGGGATAAGCTTAAAGCGGAGTTCCACCGAAAAGGGGAAGTTCTGCTTTAAAGATTGGTCCTCCACACCCCATTAAGGATTGGCACCTTTGGGGAGCGGGTACCCAAAATTGACGGGTACCCGCTCCCACTTCTGCTGCGATCACCTAGGTGATCAGAAACGGAAGTTGTCCATCTACCCTTCTTCCCCATAGTCTTGTGGGACAGGTCCCAGAAGATGACGGGGCCATTCAGGAAGGGCAGTGCTACTCGCGCATGTGCAGTGGGGGCACCCACTGTGAAGCCGCAATCTGTCACAGCCAGGTGCCCACACTGAAGATGCCAGCGCCTGGAATACAGGACGGATGGTGAAATGGGCTGCGGCGGGGGCACCGCGGGATCGAGGGACAGGTGAGTGGCTGTTTTTTAAAAGTCAGCAGCTACAGTTTTTGTAGCTGCTGACTTTTATTTTTTTCCAGAGTGAGTGGAACTCCACTTTAAGGTTTGGTCCAAGCCAAACAGGAGCTGAATGTCATTTATAGTAGTGATATTTCTACTATACAGTATATGACAGCTTCCTATTACTGGTCGTTAAAGAATATGTAAACCCAACATCTCATATTACTGATATGTGCCTGCTATACCATGTACTTGTATGAAAAAGTATTTTGTTCAGTTTGTATTGCTTTCTTTGTGTGAAATCCCTGGTGTTCCTGCCAGTCCCTCTGCTTTCCAATTAAAAACTGACCACACTAGGCAGGAGAGGAGTGTGCTCCATTTTCTAGCTCTGCTTAGAAATCAGCCTGCTCTTCTCCAATGATCAGACTTATCCTGACATGCCTCCCTCCTTGCACAGCCATAAACTACTAAGACTAATGTACTGCTGTTTCTCCACCTCCCTCTCTCTGCAGCTGAGATCAGAGGGTATGTGACCATTTAGAAAAAAGGGGAAACAAAAACATTTAGATTTTTTTTTTAGATCTATACACAAATGTTTTACCTTTCTATTCTATTTTAAACTGTATGGGCTGTTTTACAAGGTAAGGGTTTACATATACTTTAACCGCCCTAGCAGTCTGATTATGTCAGTATTTCTGTGCTCAAAGCGGTACATTTTTTTGCATGGAAATATGTTGGTTTTTTTTTATTGTAGGCCTGTAATTCTTAGGAATAACTCACTGAAATCTGTCCGAACAAGAGTCTAGTAAACATCCCGGGTGTGATAAAATTTGAAACATGAAATCATAAATTATAATATAACAAATAATCATTAAAAATAATAATATAATAATAATAAATTTAATTCAATAATGTAATCAAACCAAAAACACTGAAATTTGAAATCGAGTGGCAAGTTAGCACATCACTGAGCTTAGTCGCAAAATTGTTTTCCGTGTCTGATGAAAAATTTCCCCACAAATCATTATCATTCAATTCTGCAAGTGGTTCTAATTTACTATCGCTGTTCTCTAGCTGGTCTAAAACCAATTTTGACCTAAAGGGGCGCTTTTTGGACGCTACGGACTTTTCTCAGTTTCCAGGCAGAAAGAACAGTAAAAATGTACACAGGGCACAGGACAGAGCACTAGGGACAAAATGTATGTGAAATGGTTTGATTCAGTAATGCTATACTATGTGATTTTAGTGTATTGAGTGAATGTCACTGTTAAAATTTTTGAATTTCCCGCCAGTTCCGTCCCCCGTACGCCCCGACGCTTGTAGGGACCAGAAAACGGATGCAGGCATCGGCCGGAGGAGATGGCCAGGGACGCTGCAGGGGGGACATCGCGGACAAGGAGCGCAGGACAAGGTAAGTGCAAGAGGGAATCCCTGAGCAACGCTGCAGGGTAATCCCGAGTGTAGCTGACTGTGAAGGGGAGAGCAGTTGCAGAAGAACAGTGAGCTGGGCACTTTGTGCTTATATTTTTGGTGAGTGTTCAATTCACCTATTAGTGTGGTGAGTACAGTGAGTGCTGTAATCACCAGATAAAATGAAAGTGATACTAAACCCTCACATTTTTAATCACATTCTGCGGTTGATTTAATCACCTACTGAGTATGCAGTTTCTTCATCTTTTAATCTTTGCCTCTGTTCCTGTTGAAGCTGGTGCTATGACCACTGCCTCAGTCATGCATGGACTACAGTTGTACCTCCACACTGTATGCATCAATTGAAACATACCGCTTTGTAGTCTAAGATGGCAAGGCCTTCCCCTGCTGCTATATAAACAACGATGCACCTTAAAAATATTAGTATAACATTAAATGCGCATTAAATAGAATAAAACAAAGAAAAACATAACAATATAATTGGTAGAGTACACCTATTTAACCACTTGCCCTCCTGAGGATTTACCCTCCTTCCTGACCAGGCCATTTTTTGTGTTACAGCGCTGTGTTACTTTAACCACTTCCCTTCCAGCCCATGTACATATAAGGGTAAGCCCTTTCTCCCTATGATTATGTGCCATGCACGAAACGCGTCAGAGGGGCTACAGCAACTGGACATCTGACCACCGCAAGTGGTCATCCTGAACACATGGTCAGTACCTTTTACTGTTATTTATTGATTGTACCCACTATCTGGAATAAAGGTACCTTATACAGTATCACACTATGTGGTCTCTCATTGGGCTCTCCGTGTGAGTGCCATCATTCGCAGTGCCCATACAGCAAAGTGAGGACCCCAGATGGTGATACATGCTAGCGGACCAGGAAACCCTACACGCTGATGAGCCTGGATGGTGATTTATGGTGTGATCTGACCTGGAAACAGATGATCTACTTACTGCTTGATGACGCAGGATTTCTTATTGCGTATTTTAAGCGCACTTCTGGTGAGTGCGTATTTCATTCATTTAGAATCACATCGTCTATCACCCTTGGATCAGGACACCCGCACATCTGGAATTGTGATCCCTCAGGATCCACACGATCTTATCACCTTGAACTATTTAATCACTAATAATCACCATTAGGTGATATCATCTATTCTGCACTGATATTGTATCATACAACATATGCCATATATATTAATATGCTTAGCGCTGCACCTATTTACTGTGATATATATTGTACTGGAGGTTTACTTATGGTTACCTTTTTTGGTGTTTCAGCAGCTTAATCTTTACTCTTTAAAGCGAAAGGTAGCGCTCGCTTAGCACCCTCTTATTGTACTCCATGTACATATACAGCTGGATGGGAGCAGTGCAGGAGCGGGTTGAGGTTTATAAATGGCACCCGCATTCACAGCCTGTGCGTGCTCCCTGGAAACGTGTGGCACCGTGAACACCGATCACTGTACAGGACCTCTGTGTGAGGTCCCGATTCATGTGATCACTGATTGGCCAATCAGGGATCACATGAATAGTAGTAAGCAAGATGTCACTTCCTGACATCATTGCCTACTACTTGTGAATTCTGTGAATGATCACAGAGGTCCCATGGTACAAGGCTATTCACAAAAGCCTTGAACCATGTGACAAGCTGTGATCAATCACAGTTCTCACAGTATTTCTCAATGGCTGCAACAATGCAGTCAGAGAGAAGCAGAAATTATTGCTTTTACAGCCTTTATGGGTGCAAAAGCAATCAGTGTAATAAAAAAAAAAAATCTTCATCACCCCCCACAAGTAGTACAGTGTCACTATGGTGACACTGTACTGCTAGGGTGACAGAATGTTAAAAAAAAACCCATAAATAATAATATATATAAAAAAAAAAAAAAATGTAAAAAAAAGTTGAAAAATTATAATGTTTGGTTATAAACTAATGTGGGTTATTTTTTTTTTACTAAAAAGATAACTGAATACATTTTGGCCAATATTTATGAAGAAAAATTATTTATTTGCTAAATGTTTGGACTTTTACATTTATATATATAAAAAAAAATAAAAATCCCAGTGGTGAATAAATACCACCAAAATAAAGTTTTATCTGTCTCAAAAAATGCATAAAATTCATATGGGTACAGTGTTGCATACCCCGCAGTTGCCATTCAAAATGTGATAGCACTGAAAGCTGAAAATTGGCCTGGACAAGAAAGGGGTGAAAGTGTTCGGACTTGAAGTGGTTAACTGACAATTGTGCGGTCATGCAACACTGCACCCAAATGAAATTTACGTCCTTTTTTCCCACAAATTGAGCTTTCTTTCAATGGTATTTGATCGCCTGTGAATTTTTTATTTTTTGCACTATAAAAAAAAGACCACCAATTTTTCACTTTTTGCTATTAAATATGTCCAGTAAAAAAATCTAATTTCGTCATAAATTTATGCCAAAATGTATGCTGCACATGTCTTTGCTGAAAAAAAATCACAATACGTGTAAATTAATTGGTTTACTTGATAGTTATGGTGTTTACAAATAATGGTATAGATACTGGAATTTTTTTATTTTTTGTTAGTAATGGCGACGATCAGCGACTTATAGCAGGACTGTGGGCATTTTGACACTCCCCAGTGACACCAATACAGTGATCAGTGCTTGAAAAATGCACTGACACTGTACTAATGGTGCTGGGTGGGAATGGGTTAACATGAGGAGCGATCAGAGAGTTAATTGTGTGCAGGGAGTGTTTTACATAGGGGGTAGTGTGTGTGTGTGTGTGTGTGTGTTTCAGAGTAATCGCACTGCCCTGGATGGCTGTGCTGTGCACAGTCATCCAGAGCAGTATGCCTGAGCTGACAGGGAGGAGGACTGTTGTAAACATAGCAGTCCTCCTCCCCATTGGAGATGCTTGGTAATCACCGGGCGCTGGCGGGTAATCACCAGCCAGGAACAGGATATTGACAGCCGTACCTGCAAAAATGGCAGCGCAGGTAAAGCGCGTGCATGGCCCGCACACGTCCCCCTACCCAGAAACACAAAATCACGTATATATACAGTGAACAAAATAAGTATATGATCCCCTGCTGATTTTGAATGTTTGCCCACTCACAAAGAAATGATCAGTCTAAAAATTGAATGGTAGGTGTATTGTAACACTGAGAGACAGAATAGCAACAAAAATGTCAAAAGAAATGCATGTCTAACAAATTATGAATGGATTTGCATGTTCATGAGGGAAATAAGTATTTGATCCCCTATCATTCAGCGGGATTTCTGGCTACCAGGTGTCTTTCATACAGGTAATAAGCTGAGATTAGAAGCAGTCTCTTAAAGGGAGTGCTGCTAATCTCATTTTGTTACCTGTATAAAAGACATCTATCCACAGGAGCAATCAAACAATCAGATTCCAAACTCTCCACCATGGCAAAGACCACCATGGCAAAGACCATAGACTGTATAGTATGTACCACATTTGAGTTATTTCAACTAATCTATTACTTAATGGGGACACTTTCTCTATTACCAAGGGACTTTATTTCTTTGGTCTTAACATGAACTCTACAATACCTACAGGTGTTCACATCACACCCCATCTATAGGAACCAAAGAAATAAAGCCAGGATCTGATCAGCTTGCTATTAGATAAAAAAAGAATGGATGAGAGTAGCGTACCTAAGGTTGCAAAGAATAGGTAAGTTATTTTTGATGATGTTAATGATTTATTATTTTCAAGAGAATATGATGTGGCAAAGGAAATTCCATTATTGAAATTCCTACGCCTTTCTCTTCTATCCCTCTTGCTAGTTTGCAAAGTATAATCCGGTAATAAGGAATCGCAGGAATGACTATAGGCTATCTGTATACCTGTAGAAATCAAATGATCAGGATATTGGAGTCCTTTTAATCTATGTTTAATGATGTTACACTCTGCCTGAAAAGCCTGTTTAGTTGAGCAATTACGTCCAGCTCTTAAAACCTCTTCCACCTGTTTAGCCCTGACAGTGAGAGATTGCAGCTACTGGCTAAGAGTAGAATGACAAGCACATGGTTTTCAGCAGGTTTTGGTACATAGCAGACTTACTCTATGATCTCCGTCCAGGTAATTAATGCTGCTTCTATGGTGCTCAAATTTAGAATGTAAATTAAAATTAATATTAATCAGGTACTCAAAAAGATGATGTGCATCTGCAGCAATGTCCTTCCATGCAAGCAGAAGATCATCTATGTAGTGACCAAACCAATGGATGCAATCTTTGAAAAGTTAGTCTCAGAAAAGATAAAAGATTCCTCCCATGTGCCCATACATAAATTCACCAAGGAGGGTAACAATTAATCCCTCCCCCCATATAACACTCCATATTACTGTAGAAAATAAATACCATCAAAGAAAAAAAGTTATATTTAAAGAGGAGCTTCAGTTTTTTTGTGTGAAAATTAATTGACTTTCAATAAGCAAACACTCACCTGTCCCACAATCCAGTGATGAGCTCAACCCATCCATTTTCACCTCTCATCTTCTGTCTTCCTCGCCAGCATCTTAACTGCAGACACCCAGCTGTGACAGCTTGCAGCTTCACAGCTGGGTGCCCACTGCACATGTGTGAGCCACACTGCACATTGTGAATGGTCTTGCAGTCTTCTGGGACTTGTCACATGTCCCAGAAGACTGCAGGGAGGGAGGTGGGGAGGAGAACTACCACTTTAAATTGCCTAGGCAGTCACAGCGGAAGTGGGAACAGGTACCTGTCAAAATCGGGTACCCATTCCCCCCTCCCCAAAAGTGTCATTACTGAAAGGGGAGCAGGGAGGAGGTCTTAAAGAAAAACTTCCCCTTTTGGGTGGAGCTACACTTTAAGTAAAAATCAACTGTCATAAATCATAAACTCAAACCTAAATCACAAGCACTGTATGACAACGTGGGGCATACTTCATTACAGGTATGATATTTAAGACACAGGTAGGTTTTTTTAAGCTAAGCTTTAGCTTTAAAGTAAAAAATACTGTATTTTCATACTACTTTAAGGTTAAAAAAAAGGACTGGTAAGCTGCAATAGATAGTACGTTTGTCAAAATAACTACTGAGGCAAGAGCATGACTATATAATACAGAATTATCCAAAGACAATTTTGGTGGAAGCCGCACAGGAATAATGAAAAGCAGTTTTGTTCTATACAACATACATTCATTTAATAAATAATTTTTAAAGCATCAATTTTGGAATGTCAGTCTAAAATTTTGGTGCATGCATAAAATCTGCTCATCTTACTTTAGCTTTGAAGGATGTGCCATGTACTTTAGCAACTTACTTTAAATGTCTTTGCAATATAAACGTGTAACAAAGATTAAAGGGAAGATGACTGGAACAGATTGACTAAGCATATTGTCATCAGAATAAAAAGAATTGATAAACAGATTACACGTCTGATCACAGAACATAGAAGTTGTAAAAGAGACCAAATATTACTCTTATACACATCAAGGGTTTAAATTATAAAATCATATACGGTACATAGGAAGATAAAAGGTAAAGTCTTGTTTGTAAATACAACATGTAAAGATGTCTTTTGGCATTACTAAACTTGTGGTGCAATTCACTAAGTTTTAATGCAGAGGTTTTTAGGATAACAGCCATAATTTTTGAATCTTATTTGCAAAATGACAAAAAAGGAAAATAGAGTGATTGGAACAACTCCAGCATTCGTTGAGAAAGTTGCCAATTAATTGCAAGGAAATATGTTTCTGGATACTGGCCTTGTCATTCATCTTAGCCGTATCTACTGTTACACTTACAGTATGCTGGAAGGATTTGACATGCATTGCTCCTCTACCAGAGTCAAAGAGTCACTGCAAAGTATTACTCTTATGACCTTTCACATGGCACATTGTGCATAATAACATGATCTGTCCAATGTCAGCCACATTAAAACAAATACTTCACTTATTACATATTTAAGCCTGCCTGGAGTGTTTATTTTTTGTCCTGTATAGATTATATGATGATCTGGCTGGATTTCATCATTTGATGTGCTTGCCAATACACATGGAAGTCATTATAGTGTCATAGGAAGGTTAGATATTTCCCCAAGATAGTCAGTGTTTATAATAAAAACCGTGAGTATACAATTTAAGTGTCAATGGACAATTGATGTGTGGGGGTTCACATATAAGCTTGGTAAATCAGGCCAAAAGATTTTTTTGTATAAAATACATATTGTGGCTAATTTATTTTAGTACATTTCTAAGTGAATTCTAAAGGCAATTTTTTAAAATAACAAACGTGTCATACTTACCTGCTTTGTGCAGCAGTTTTCCACAGAGCAGCCCCAAACCTCCGCTTCTTGGGTACGACGTCTGCGCTGTTGGCTCCTCCCCTATCCAAGTTTCCCCATAGCAAGACTTTTTAGGGGCATTCATGCATGCTCCTGAGCCACCTCTGTGTGTCCACTGACATGCAGAGTGCAGCTCAGCCTTGCCCCATTTGTGCCTCACTGGCTGTGATTGACAGCGGTAGGGAACTGCTCTCCTCCAATGAGCAGGCTTGTCCTGATATCCCCTACCCCTTTGCACATCCCTCACTAGGAAGACTAGTGTATGCTGTTTCTCCTCCCGAGCTCTTATGCAGCTGAGAACAGAGGGAATCTTATCACTTATAAAAAGGAGGAAAAAAGTGTTTGTAATG